CGGTGATCGCGCTGCGGGCGCAGGACCCCGACGAGGGAGAGGCCGGCCGCCTGGCGTACTCCCTGGAGGCGCTCTTCGACGAGCGCTCCAACGACTACTTCTCCATCGACCCCCAGACGGGCAGCGTGGTCACCACCCGCAGCCTGGACCGGGAGACGAAGGACACCCACGTGCTCAAAGTGACCGCATCTGACCATGGCTCCCCGCGCCGTCGCTCGGCCACCACCTATCTGACGGTGACTGTGAGCGACACCAACGACCACGAGCCAGTGTTTGAACAGCCCGAGTACCGGGAGAGCATCCGGGAGAACCTGGAGGTGGGTTATGAGGTGCTGACTATCCGTGCCACCGATGGGGACGCCCCAGCCAATGCCAACATGCTTTACCGTCTGCTGGAGCCGGGAGCTGGCGATGGCGTCTTTGAGATTGACCCACGCTCTGGGGTCGTGAGGACCCGAGCCCTGGTGGACCGCGAGGAGGTTTCTGAGTACCACCTGGTGGTGGAAGCTAATGACCAGGGCAAGGACCCAGGACCTCGCAGTGCCACAGCTATGGTGCACATCACTGTGGAGGATGAGAACGACAACTACCCTCAGTTCAGTGAGAAGCGCTACCTGGTCCAGGTGCCAGAGGATGCCCCAGTGAACAGTCAGATACTGCAGGTGCAGGCCACTGATCGGGACCGGGGCAGCAACGCCCAGGTGCACTACAGCATTGTGAGCGGCAACCTGAAAGGTCAGTTCTACATCCACTCTTTCTCTGGTGCCATCGACCTGATCAACCCTCTGGATTATGAGACTATTCGGGAGTACACCCTGCGGATCAAAGCCCAAGATGGGGGCAGGCCTCCCTTAATCAACTCCAGTGGCATGGTGTCAGTGCAAGTCGTGGATGTGAATGACAACGCCCCCATCTTTGTCAGCACTCCCTTCCAGGCCACAGTCCTGGAGAACGTTCCTTTGGGCTACTCGGTGCTGCACATCCAGGCTGTGGATGCTGACTCTGGGGAGAACGCGCGCTTGGAGTACAAACTCATAGAGATGATATCACCTGCTGGAAGTGCTCCTGTAGCGAGTGACTCTGGGTTCCCTTTTCAGATCAACAATAGCACGGGATGGATCACAGTGTCGGCAGAGCTGGACCGAGAGACTGTAGAGAACTACCAGTTTGGGGTGGAGGCCAGGGACCATGGTGTGCCGGTCATGACCTCCTCAGCCAGTGTGTCCATCACGGTCCTGGATGTGAATGACAACAACCCTACCTTCACTGAGAAGGTGTATCACCTCAGACTGAATGAGGATGCAGCCGTGGGCAGCAGTGTCCTGACCCTGACAGCAGTGGACAGGGATGTCAACAGTGTTGTGACCTACCAGATCACCAGTGGCAACACCAGGAACCGTTTTGCCATCACCAGTCAGAGCGGAGGGGGACTGATCACCCTGGCCTTGCCCCTGGATTACAAGCAGGAAAGGCAGTATGTGCTCACAGTCACTGCCTCGGATGGCACTCGCTTTGACACCGTCCAGGTCTTCATCAATGTCACAGATGCCAACACGCATCGCCCAGTCTTCCAGAGCTCCCATTACACTGTGAGCATCAGTGAGGACAAGCCCATTGGCACCTCTATTGTCACCATCAGTGCCACCGATGAAGACACAGGGGAGAACGCGAGGATCACTTATATTTTGGATGATAACATCCCCCAGTTCCGCATCGACCCCGACACAGGCACCATCACCACCCTGATGGAGCTGGACTATGAGGACCAAGCCTCCTACACGTTGGCCATTACAGCCCATGACAACGGCATCCCCCAGAAGTCCGACACCACCTATGTCGAGATCCTCATCTTAGATGCCAACGACAACGCGCCCCGCTTCCTGCGCGACCGTTACCAGGGCTCGGTTTTTGAGGACGTGCCACTCTCCACGAGTGTACTGCAGCTGTCTGCTACGGACCGCGACTCAGGCCTCAATGGCCGTCTCCTCTATACATTCCAAGGCGGTGATGATGGAGATGGAGACTTCTACATTGAGCCCACTTCTGGGGTGATACGAACACTGCGCAAGCTTGACCGTGAGAACGTGGCTGTCTACAGCCTGCGGGCCTTTGCTGTAGACAGGGGTAGCCCCCCCTTGAAAGCCTCTGTGGATATCCAGGTGACTGTGCTGGACATCAATGACAACCCTCCTGTCTTTGAGAAGGATGAATTTGACATCTTTGTGGAGGAGAACAGCCCCGTGGGCTCTATTGTGGCACGGATTAGTGCAGCCGACCCTGACGAGGGAACCAACGCACAGATCATGTACCAGATTGTGGAGGGCAACATCCCTGAGGTCTTCCAGCTAGACTTGCTCAACGGTGACCTCACAGCCCTGATGGATCTGGATTATGAGAGCCGGACAGAGTACGTGATCGTGGTGCAGGCCACTTCTGCTCCTCTTGTCAGCCGAGCAACGGTACATATTCGCCTCCTGGATCAGAATGATAACCCACCTGTACTGCAGGACTTCCAGATCCTCTTCAACAACTACGTGACCAACAAGTCTAATAGCTTCCCCTCTGGCGTGATTGGCAAGATCCCAGCTCATGATCCTGATGTTTCTGACAGCCTGGCCTACACCTTTGTGCAAGGCAATGAATTAAACTTGCTCCTTTTGGACTCTGCCACTGGGGAACTGAAACTTAGTCGGGATCTGGACAACAACAGACCCCTGGAAGCCCTCATGAAAGTGTCAGTCTCAGGTAAGCAAGCGTACAGATATTAATAAAGTGCGTAGATCCGTTTGTTGGACCAGCGTGCTGGCGGTGGCAGAAGTAGGCTACATGCAGTTTAGTGTGCAGCCTTCAGTTTCCTGAGGCAGCAATTTATCTGTGAAATTCTTGGAGGGGAAGCACAAAAATGTGTCAAACCTATGTGCTGTGGGTTGAAGTGGTGGTGTGTTGAAGCTGTTTAGTAAATGTGGATCACAAGTGTGTGCGGAAGGGAATATATTCCCTCAGTTTAGGTAGTACTTCGGTTGAAGCTTTCCTCATGTGATGCATAAAGCTAATAAATGACCTAACTTGCAAAGATGAAGGGAGTGCACTTCTCTGGTTGACACGTTTTTAATGCTTAAACTTGCTATCAACACCACAGCCTTGGAGAGCTTTCCTCCGCTTTTATTTTTTCTTTTGTTAAAAAAAAAAATAGTTGGGATTTTGTATTGGTTTCCTTTTTAACAACAAGATGTAGCTCATTTGTCTATTCCATTCTATATACTGGGAGATTTGGCTGATAAATCTTTAGCCTGCTCTGTTAGTGTGGACTGGGTAAATGCGAAGCTGGTGGAGCTGCACTTATCTGACAGGCACAACATTTGGCCTCTGGTTTGCGTTGCTGGTGTGTGTCTCTGTGGGAAATGCCTACTCTTAAAGCAGTGAGTTATAGCTGTGTAGTAGCTCTGCAACATAGCTAATTGCACTGGGGTTGCTTTGTTAGAACTAAGGGCAGATACTGGCCAAGTACAGCACCAAAATCAGCACTGAAAAATCTGCTGTTGGGGGTGGGCGAGAGGACTGGCGAGGCGGGTGTCATAGGATTAAATTACTTGAAAAATTGCATGCGTGTGCGAGGACTGTTTCTTCTGTAGACTGTTCAATATTATTCAATTTATACTCTTACATGTGCTCTTAGGAGATTATTTTTCTTCTGCTCAGTTGCTTGTTTATCATGGATTTACTTTTTATGTTTCTAATTGTGGCATCAGTCGTGCAATGAGTAATTTCCTTTGCAGGTGCCACTACACAAAGTTTACTGTGGACCTGATCCCATACTTCTGTTGACTTTCAGAGGTTATAACCAGATACATTCCTCTCCCCATCTCTGTGCAAGCAAAAGCTAATATTTGTATTCTTTTTGCATGAAATAGCTGAAAGTACTAGGTATATATAATGGCACTGTAGGAGATGCTTCTCTTTGGGTGATTGTATTTTAAAAAATACCGCAGTACGGCACAATCCTGGCAAGGCTTGCTACTGCAAGTAGTCATCCGGAGAGTGGTGGAGCCTCAGGGTAGCGAGCAATACTCTCTGTAGTGTTTGCAGGCTTGAGCTCCTTTTTGCTTCAGGAAAATGAAAGTGATATTAACTGAACTGATTGAAATTATTGTGCTGTATCGTCTGACAATGGCCTCCAATTTATTGCAAAATGCTAGGGGGCAGCTAACATGGTAAGTTAGCTCATAAATGCTGTTTCCGTGTCCTGTGAGGACTTGCAGAAAAACAGGCAATTGGCTTGTGACCTTAAAAAAAAAAAATTGGATTAACATACAGGTGACTGTGTGGTCATTGTCCGTCTGAACCAGTAGCGCTTTATCGAGCAGCAAGAGATAAGGACCTGGCATAGCGCAAGAAGCTTGGAAAAGTCGTTTTTTCAGACTACATGAAGAGAGTGCTCAGGACAGAAAAACAGGTTATATGAAGTATTGCTGTCTCGTTCTAATAGCGTTCAACTCTTTCTAGAGTTTAAGTGGGTGAAATCTAAGACAGGGGAATGAAGGAATTGAAACCTCTGTTTTGTTAAGTAATAAGAGCTTGATCGTTAAGTGCATCATTTTCATATTCGGTGAGGATGTGAACTTTGAAACTCTTCTGTGATTTCAATCAAAACTCTCCGGCTGCTGCTTGTCTTGAGATATTTGAAAGAAGAGAGCTTTCTACAGATAAGATTTTAAAATTATTTTGACAAGCATTGAACTCCATTGGATGCTGATTTTGAAAAGGTTGCTGTTTGGAAATTGAAAGGGCAGAGTTTTGTGGAGTTTGGGGTTATAGCCAGGAAACTCTCACCTGCCAGCTTTCTCTAGTTTATCTGATGTAGTCTTTAAAAAGAGGTAGAAAAGAAGCTCAGACTGAAATATTCCACGTGATTATCTCCAAGTGTTGCAAAACGCTTGTAAATCATCTGCTAAAATGACCTGCCAGTTAACTGAAAAACGCGTCTATCGAGTAGCCATTAACCTCTCAACCCAGACAGAAAGTCCTGCCCTAGTCACAGCTGCTGTTCAGGTCAATGAAGAATTTGAGCTCTTTATGAACTTGGGGAATTTGATCTAATACGAGTAGGAAGTGACACTGCTGTTAAAAAATGTTATTTCCAGCTAGTGATGCAGTCTGCTCTGAAGGCGTGTAAGTGTGTGTGCGAGGCTAGTGAGGAGGCATACTGTTCTCCTAAATTGCTATGAGACTTTGATACTTAGCAAAAACCTGTATTCTTTAATTTGATATGAAAATAATTTGAATGCCTGTGGTAATTTCAGCCTTCTGTATATAAACAAAATGTTAAGAAGAAAGAAAACTAGCAAAACTGTAATAATTTAGTAAAACTCGAGAATGATGCAATTCATTTTAAAAAAATAACCAAAGAACGTGAACGTCTACAAAAGCGGTGTGGGTGGCTGGGCTGTGGCAGGCAGCGTCCGCCCGTGCGGGGCTCTCCCTGGGCCCTGGCGCTGCTACGCTGGCTTAGCTGCACCGCGAACCCCCACCGCAGGTCGGGCACGGGCCCAAAAAGAGGGGGTAGGACTAGGTGGTAGGAATGTGGATGGTCGTGCTTCGGAGGGTGTGTGGATATTAGCATTTAATTTTGGATCAGGAGGGAGCTTTTGAAGTCAGTGTCTTTTGAAGCGAATCTCTCCGTGTCCGCCTCTCGCCTTGCCTGCTGCGGAGCAGTCTGCGTGACCGAACTAGAGGCCTTTGGGGCGAAAGTAAAGCGCATGTGATGCCCTTCATCCTGTGGGATCTTTTTCCTCTGAGCAAAAGTGAACAATAACAGTACTCAGAAGCATTCACGAGCAGCACCACTTGCTCTGAGAACTGGTAGTTCAACACCCTCCTCCCAAGCTCATAGCGCAGGTTCTGGGTCACCCGCAAACAACGTTCACCTTTTCCTTCATACCCTCAGGGCTTTCTTACAGGAAGGCAGAGCCTTTCCTGCATGTAGCATCATAAGGTTTATGGTTTTTTTTAACCGTGGGGATGAAATCTGGACCCTGCTGAAATCCCACTCTTGCTTTCCAGAGGGTAAGGATTTTCGCTCTGGGCTTCTAGAACGGGTGGCTGATAGTAAATCAGTGTGTAATTTCTTAGTGTTATTAATAAACATATGACTTAAATAGACAGGACTGCTGCAAACTGTTATTTTTTGCCCATAATGGTGTTTACAGGACTGAAAGGGAAGTTGTCAAATTGGTTCTGGTTAGTTTGGAATTTATCTAGTCAAAAAATGACTTAGATGTTGCTCAACATTACATTTGCCTGTGTTAAACCTTATGCCTCCGTCTCCCCTTGTGCTGTGGAGAAAAGCTGGTGCTGGCCTCGACTTTGCACAACTGTTGCCCCAGTTTGCTTTGGTATCGCGTTGCAAACGCTGTGCACCTGCTTCGTTCTAGTGCCGCAAGTAGTCCCACTTACCGCGAGTGACAGTTCACTCGAATACAATAGATCCGTGTGTAAACTCTTCTGGGATTAGAGTCTAATTAGTGCATGTAGATAAAATAGCCATCCTGACTATGTGCTGGAGCTTTCAAATGACCCAAATAAATATAAATTTCAGACACAGCCTTTAGGAGCTGTTATCCTTAGTAAGAGGTAGAGACCCCTCTATTTTGGAGTGTATGCAAGTTGAAGTATTTCCTTTTACATTTCTTTGACTTTTAATCTCTAGTGGCATTTTAGTGACATTATTGACTATCAACAAATTTAAATCAAGATAGAGCTCATTTGTGCTGCAATACACTTTTGTTATTTTGACTCAAAGATTGTTAAAGGATCTTCATTATTATTGTCCTTTGACAGTCATTATGATAATGATCCTGGATCTCCAAGTCAGTTTGTTCTCCATGCAAATATAACGGGAGATATTAAACCTAGTTTTCGCTCTTGTGATAAATCGGAGGCCGCAATTGTGCTGTAAACACAAGGCTTTGGGGGCTTTGTCTGTGTGAAGAAAATTTGAGATTGAAAGCCAGAAAAGCTGAGGGAAAAGGAGTCTTCGTAGGACCGAAGGCCACGTTTAGGTGCAAAGGGTGTGTGGCTGCTGCGCCCGCGAAGCGCTGCGTTAGCTGCGTCTGCGTCGCGGACGTTGCCCAGCTCTTGTTTGGTTTGTGGCAGATAGGCAGGGCAACCAGTTCGTTTGTGACCGACATCTCCGCTTTTTTTGCGAGGACGGGCTTCCCTTTCCTTCGTGCACCAGGTTACCGGCCAGAGGAACAGGCCAGGTTTCAGGTATCAACCAGGAAAGATTAACGCACGAGCTGCTCTCTGCGGCCTCCCCGTAGCCACCAGGGAAATAAATTCCAGGAGTGTTAAACACGGCTGCGACGCAATCCCTGCAGGTTATACAATTACAAGATTATAGAAATGAAAGGGTGCTCCCTCTCCCTCTCTCTCCACACTCCTTAGGTTGGAGGTGTTGTATAAATACATATTTCTCGGGGAGAGCTCCTGTGGCGGCAGTGCGTGTTCGGTCACAGCAATAGCCTAAAACTAGAATTTTGAACTCCGATGTTGCTGGTGATCTTGCATAGCCCTGTCTGCACTTGCATTTCGCCTGTGCATCCAGCACTAAAGGGAGGAAAAAGCAGTAACTTGCAGACTACAGAGACCAGGGAGACAGTAATGAGCGACCTCCTTAGAAAACAGTATGTTGGCACGATTCAGAGAGCTGCAGGACTGCAGCCTGCGGCCGGCGCTTTGTATGTTAA